ATCAAAGAATATAACATGGATTCACAGTCAGCCTTCTAGAGAGGTCTGTGCTAATGGACCCCTCCCTCACTTTCCACTTACCTCTCCACCCTCTACAGCCCAACTCTGCAACTTTCATCCACAAAAACTGTCTCTCCACAGCTCTTTTTCATGGCCATTTTCACTCATCCCCTCCTGATAATTCTTTTTAAAATTTTTTGGATGTTTCACAATCATCAGTTTGCTCCTGGCCGAATTCCACTATCCGGATAAGTCTCATCCAGAAATTAATTTTGAAAAACTCCAGCATGCAGGTTTTGTGATTGAAATCTCCAGCTTTCATGAGGTCAGGGAGGGTTCCCTCCCTCCATGTATCCCTGTTCTTCTGGAAGCCCGGCAGGAACACCTCCAGCGCCATGTGAGCTCTCTCACAGGCCATGATCCAGAATAAATTAGAATAACAAACTTAGAAATAAATCTTGAAAGAGATCAAGAATTTCTCTCGGATCCTGCACAAGGCTGAGTCATCCAGAGGCAACCCAGAGAGGAACGGGTGAATCCCCACGTCCACCCAAACAGAGTGCCAGCAGCCAAAAACCTCCACATTCCACAATCAGCTTTCGGAGATCGGGCACAGACTACCCTCTGTGCTTCTGGAAGCCCAGCCGTCAGGCCTATGCCCCAAAGCCACCAGTTAAGAATTTCACTCCATCTGTTACTCCGTCAACACTTTTGGACACCCTGGAGTGTGTGGATGCAATTCTGGCTACGCAACATCTCTAACTCTGTAACACTGTTAAGCCAGAAGTAGCACACAGGACTGGATGGTATGTAATATGAAAGGCAACCAATTTCAATTGACAAAATCTATACACAGAAGGCTTTACCTGTAACGTCTTAGTAATCTCTTACACAAAGTTTAAGGGCTCCATGGTGAGATAGAAGAATCTTCACTACCGGGGCTGGAGCAAAAAAGCAAACAAAGAAAAAATTCACAATCTTTCTTCTAAGGAAACAGTTTTTGATCATCCTTTTATCAAATTATTTATAACGAGCAATGTAAAATAAATGATAGTGGGTCTGCTATGGGGGCATGTTCAAGTGGTAGTTGGGAAAATTGGAAATAATGGTGGTGAGAAGGTGCAATGGTGGTGGACTGGTGTTGGAATATTAAATGTCTGTAACTAATGACTAAAAATCTGTTTTTTTTTTAATTTTGCTTTTTGGGTCACACCCGGCGAGGCACAGGGGTTACTCCTCGCTCTGCACTCAGGAGTTACTCCTGGCGGTGCTCAGCGGACCATATGGGATGCTGGGAATCGAACCTGGGTCGGCCCCATGCAAGGCAAACGCCCTGCCCGCTGTGTTATCTCTGCAGCCCCTAAAAATCACGGATTAAGGATTTAGTCACGGTCCTCGGTCCTCCCGCTATTCATCGCTTTGCTCGAGCGGGCCCAGTAGCGTCTCCATCGGAGACTTTGTTGTTACTGTGTCTGGCATATCGAATACGTCACGGGGAGCTTGCCAGGCTCTGCCGTGCGGGCGAGATACTCTCGGCAGCTTGCCGGGCTCTCCGAGAGGGGCGGAGGAATCGAACTCGGGTCGGCCATATTGGCCGCTTGCAAGGCAAACGCCTTACTGCTGTGCTATCTCTCCAGCCCCTAAAAATCATTTTAAATTATTTTTTAAAAAAAATATACTATCAAGTTACACTGTATGCAGAGATTCAAGATAGGAGATTTAGTCTTTTTTTAAGTGAATTTTCATAAATTATCTTCTTCAGCAGGGAAGCTGCTGGCTTACTCTGGATTCAGCATCTCACGCAGACAGCAATTCAAAACTACAGAAAAATCTGGAACGAACTCTGAAATATAGTTTTAAAATACATTTTAAAATATTTTAAAACTTCGGGGCCAGATAGATAGCACAGCAGGTTAGGCACTTGCCTTGCACACAGTTGATTAGGGTTGGATCCCTGACACCCCATATGGTCCCTAAAACCCAACAGGAAGGATCCTTGAGCACAGAGATAGGAGCAAGCCCTGAGCACAGCTGGGTGTGGCTCCAACCCTCACCCCTGCTAAAAATGTATTTTTTAAAGGATCGGTTCCAGAGTAACACCTGAATATCTCTGGGTGTGCTCCTACTCCCCCAAACTAAAGAAACAAGCCATAGAGAGTTTAAAAATAAAAGCCTTCTGATTTTTTAAAAATCAATTAAAAAACTGAATTAAAAATATTAAAATCCTAGAGCTAAGAAAATAGCTCAAATAAAAGCACATGCCTAACATGTCAGATCCTGTACCATGAATACCACTGAAAGTATCCCCAACACTACCAGTTTGGGGCCTTATTTTAAAATATATACATATATAACATACATAAAAAAACAAAGCTCAAGATTGGAAGAATACAAGCTGCAATTTAATAGTTTCTAAATCTAAAAATTTGTAGCACTCATTTTACAAAAACACTTTCAGTCCTAGAATTACAAATTACTGATTCCATGCAACTTTTATAATTCAATTCACCATTAGGAAGGAAATGTTTTCCATGGCTAAGTATTTTTTGAGACATAAATAACAAAGAATTTGTTTTAGGTGTTCAACATGACTTGACATACATATACATACATATATGTATGTATATAAACTGCAAAATGCTGATCACAGCAATTTAACATTCATCGTCACAGTTTTCATTTTCTTCTTATAAGAATGTTTAAGATGTACAACTTTTAGTAACTGAAAGTAAGACTTAAATAAGAATGCTTTCATATCATGATATGATAAAAAATGTAAAACCAACAGAATCTATCACTAACGTCTTAATAATGGCACCCAGTTGTTGATACAGGACTGCTAGTTAAAGAAGTAAAGGATGTATTTCAGTGGGAGAGCACATGCTTCACATGTATGTGGTCCTGGGATCAATTCCCTGCACCATAAGACTAGAAATTGAAAATTTAAAAACTTACCCATATTGTGGTGCTCCCGTTATAATGTCTCCGATAGTGACATGAACATCATCCTCATCATCATCACTGTCACTATCATATTCAGTTTCAGTCACTTTCTGTACCAACATAAACAGTAATAAAATAGATTCAATAATGCACCTTCAACATGAATAACTGAAACAGTAACCAATTTGTTTCATCTATGGGTTTAGAGTTATGAAACCAATGTTTCCATTTCTTCTTTGTAAATTTAATGTTTTAAAAACTAAAACAAAGTGATAGAAATGTGAAAAGAGGCTGTCAAGAAGTTTTTGTACGACAAACTAATGTATCTTTATGCGTAAAGCTTTCTCTCTTGCAAAAAGGATCTAAGGGAATGTGCTAAGATATCCAGCAGATAGAACCATAAAAAGTAGGCATTGGAAGAACTTTTGGCAAAAGGAATGTGAAGATAAGAGTGAAAAATTAATTATGGAGCTGGAGCCATAGCACTGCAGGGAGGGCATTTGCCTTGCGCACGGCTGACCCTGGACTCGATTACCAGCATCCCATATGGTCCCAGAGCACTGCCAGGAATAATTCCTGAGTGCAGAGCCAGTGCATCAGCAGGTGTGCCCCGAAAAGAAAAAAAAATTAATCATACTAGGCACAGTGTTAGGTTAAAAAGCAACAAAATGTTACCAAAGAGCTCACCAGTCATGGCATTCATTTATATCTAGAAGAGGTCTTGCCACAAAATGACCGGGAATATATTTTATCTGAAAAACGAAAAAACATCAGCATACTTAGGATATCTCTTAGGAAAGTGTTATTCTGGCTCTAAACAGCTCTTTTGTCCATAGTATCCTTTTGGTTAACTTTAAAAAAAAGGACCATTTAAACCAGTATTTATCAATAAGAGACGGTATGAGACCAGGATGTTCCAAGGGGCAACGGCAGAATTCCCATGGGTGGGAGAAAGCAGGAGACTAGAGGACCATTAGCAGGAGAGGGCAGGCCACCAGGCCACACGTGGAAAAAAAGGCTGGAAGGGGCCAGAGTCTGAAAAAGACGGAAAACCATGAACCTGGGAACAACATTTTTAGCAGGACAAGTTTAATCCTGCAGAGTACCAATCTCTTTCTTTCATAGAAATAATTGAATATATTAAAATCTTCAAAAGACCATGGTAAAATAATCCTGCAAAACATCACTTTGAAGGTGAATGAGGTCAGAGACCAACATACAAAATAACATCTTGCTTAAAAACAAAACCAAAAAAGCCAAATATTTCTTAAAAGAACTGTGATCATCTAACAGGTTCAGAACTCAAATGAAAGCAATAAACCTCTGCACACACTCTATTTCATCTGAACACCTTCCCACTATTTCTTTTCACTGTGCATCAAATAAAAATACCTGACAGCGAGATTGTGCAGGATACTCCAAAGTCTAGCTGAATGTAGACTTTCTTCTTAGCTAGAAATCTACAGATTTTAAATACGGAAGCGACTGAATTCCAAAGCCTTATGTTACTGGTTTAGGAACACCATTTTCAGCAGCTTCCTCTTCAATCCCAGATGGAGGACTGGCACTACAAATAAAAACAAGTACACGTGTCTGTGTTACTTTCGGGCAAGTGCCCGACTGTCGGGCAAGAGGCGCCGTTTTCCGCAGGTGCGTCCACGCGCACTGGCCCTCGGGAAAGGAGCCGTTGGCGGGGCGCGGGGCGAAGCGCTGAGGACGGGAGGGCGTGCGGGCAGCTCGGAGGCCGGGGAGGGCGTCCCGGCCGGGGGCCGCGAGGACAGAGCGAGGCTTCGCGGGAGGGGCGCCGGGGAGCACAGGGCGGCAGGTACCGGCGGCGGCAGCGGGGGCGGCGGCGGGGGCGGCAGCGGGGGCGGTGGCAGGCACGTGGTTAGGCGCGCGCGGCGCGGCTTGTGCGCACGCGCAGCGGCGACCCAGCGGCGCGGTGGCGGCGACCTGAGCCTGACCGCGCCTGCGCGCGGCCCAGGCCCCGCCCCCAAGACATCCCGCCCCGCCTCGCAGGGAGGCTTTCTCGCCCGCTGAAAAGGAAACAAAGAAAAGGAAAGAAAGGAAAGAAAGAAAAGGAAAGGAAAGAAAAGGAAAGAAAAGGAAAGAAAGGGAAGAAAGGAAAAGAAAGAAAAGGAAAGAAAGGAAAGAAAGAAAAGGAAAGGAAAGAAAAGGAAAGAAAAGGAAAGAAAGGAAAGAAAGGAAAAGAAAGAAAAGGAAAGAAAGAGAGAAAAGGAAAGAAAGAAAAGGTCAAAAGGAAGCCCCCATGGGCAAAGCAAGAGGGATTTGCAGAGGGCGGGTGGGGGGGAGGCGCAGCTGACGGGGTCGCGGGCGAGAAAGCCTCGCTGCGAGGCGGGGCGGGATCTCTTGGGGGCGGGGCCTCGGTCGCGCAAAGGCGCAGGCGCAGTCAGGCTCAGGTCGCCGCCTCCGCGCCACTGGGTCGCTGCTGCGCGTGCGCAAAAGCTGCGCTGCACGCGCCGAACCAGGTCCCCGCTGCCGCCGCCGCCCCCGGCATGTGGGAGCCCCATCACCCCACGTGGTCCCCAACGCCCGCCAAGAGTGGTTCCACGCAGGCAGAGTGTGGCCCCCAAACTAAACTTCTTAAAGCAATTCTGGGGGGCTGGAGTGAGAGCACAGTGGGGAGAGCGTTTGCCTTGCACGTGGCTGACCCGGGTTCGATTCCCAGCATCCCACAGGGTCCCCCGAGCACCGCCGGGTAATTCCCGAGCGCAGAGCCGGGAGGAAGCCCTGAGCGTCGCCGGGTGTGACCCCCCAAAAAGCAAAATAAATTAACCGGACCGTCCGGAAAAGGAGCCGTTGGCGGGGCGGGGGCGGCGCCGTTCCCGGGGCGCGGGGCGAAGCGCTGAGGACAGGAGGGCGGTGCGGGCAGCTCAGAGGGCCGGGGAGGGCGTCCCGGCCGGAGGACGCGAGGACAGAGCGAGGCTTCGCGGGAGGGGCGCCGGGGAGCACCGGGCGGCAGGTACCGGCGGCAGCAGCGGGGGCGGCGGCGGCGGCAGGCACGTGGTGAGGCGCGCGCGGCGCGGCTTGTGCGCACGCGCAGCGGCGACCCAGCGGCGCGTCGGCGGCGACCTGAGCCTGACTGCGCCTGCGCGCGGCCGAGGCCCCGCCCCCAAGAGATCCCGCCCCGCCTCGCAGCGAGGCTTTCTCGCCCGCGTCCGCGTCAGCTGCGCCTCCCCCCCCCACCCGCCCTCTGCAAATCCCTCTTGCTTTGCCCATGGGGGCTTCCTTTTTACCTTTTCTTTCTTTCCTTTTCTCTCTTTCCTTTCTTTCCTTTCCTTTCCTTTCTTTCCTTTCTTTCCTTTTCTTTCCTTTCTTTCCTTTTCTTTCCTTTCCTTTTCTCTCTTTCCTTTCTTTCCTTTTCTCTCTTTCCTTTCTTTCCTTTTCTTTCCTTTCTTTCCTTTTCTTTCCTTTTCTTTCCTTTCTTTTCTTTTCTTTCTTTCCTTTTCAGCGGGCGAGAAAGCCTCCCTGCGAGGCGGGGCGGGATCTCTTGGGGGCGGGGCCTCGGCCGCGCGCAGGCGCAGTCAGGCTCAGGTCGCTGCCGCCGCGCCGCTGGGTCGCCGCTGCGCGTGCGCACAAGCCGCGCTGCGCGCGCCTCACCACGTGCCTGCCGCTGCCGCCGCCCCCGCTGCCGCCGCCGGTACCTGCCGCCCGGTGCTCCCCGGCGCTTCTCCCGCGAAGCCTCGCTCTGTCCTCGCGGCCCCCGGCCGGGACGCCCTCCCCGGCCTCCGAGCTGCCCGCACCGCCCTCCCGTCCTCAGCGCTTCGCCCATCGCCCCGGGGACGGCGCCGCCCCCGCCCCGCCAACGGCTCCTTTCCCGGGGGCCAGTGCGCGTGGACGCACCTGCGGAAAAGGGCGCCCCTTGCCCGACAGTCGGGCACTTGCCCGAAAGTAACACAGACACGTGTACTTGTTTTTATTTGTAGTGCCAGTCCTCCATCTGGGATTGAAGAGGAAGCTGCTGAAAATGGTGTTCCTAAACCGGTAACATAAGGCTTTGGAATTCAGTCGCTTCCGTATTCAAAATCTGTAGATTTCTAGCTAAGAAGAAAGTCTACATTCAGCTAGACTTTGGAGTATCCTGCACAATCTCGCTGTCAGGTATTTTTATTTGATGCACAGTGAAAAGAAATAGTGGGAAGGTGTTCAGATGAAATAGAGTGTGTGCAGAGGTTTATTGCTTTCATTTGAGTTCTGAACCTGTTAGATGATCACAGTTCTTTTAAGAAATATTTGGCTTTTTTGGTTTTGTTTTTAAGCAAGATGTTATTTTGGATGTTGGTCTCTGACCTCATTCACCTTCAAAGTGATGTTTTGCAGGATTATTTTACCATGGTCTTTTGAAGATTTTAATATATTCAATTATTTCTGTGAAAGAAAGAGATTGGTACTCTGCAGGATTAAACTTGTCCTGGTAAAAATGTTGTTCCCAGGTTCATGGTTTTCCGTCTTTTTCAGACTCTGGCCCCTTCCAGCCTTTTTTTCCACGTGTGGCCTGGTGGCCTGCCCTCTCCTGCTAATGGTCCTCTAGTCTCCTGCTTTCTCCCACCCATGGGAATTCTGCCGTTGCCCCTTGGAACATCCTGGTCTCATACCGTCTCTTATTGATAAATACTGGTTTAAATGATGCTTTTTTTTTTTAAAGTTAACTAATAGGATACTATGGACACAATAGCTGTCTAGAGCCAGAATAACACTTTCCTAAGTATGCTGATGTATTTTAGTTTTTCAGATAAAATATATTCCTGGTCATTTTATGGCAAGACCTCTTCGAGATATTAATGAATGCCATGACTGGTGAACTCTTTGGTAACATTTTGTTGCTTTTCAACCTAACACTGTGCCTAGTATGATTAATTTTTTTTTTTTTTTTGGTTTTCGGGTCACACCTGGTGATGCACTGGCCCTGCACTCAGGAATTATTCCTGGCAGTCCTCAGGGGACCATATGGGATGCTGGTAATCGAGTCCAGGGTCAGCCGTGCGCAAGGCAAATGCCCTCCCTGCGATGCTATCGCTCCAGCTCCATAATTAATTTTTCACTCTTATCTTCACATTCCTTTTGCCAAAAGTTCTTCAAATACCTACTTTTTTATGGTTCTATCTGCTGGATATCTTAGCACATTCCCTTAGATCCTTTTTGCAAGAGAGAAAGCTTTACATATAAAGATACATTAGGTAGTCTTACAAAAACTTTTTGAAAGCTTTTTTCACATTTCTATCACTTTTTTTAGGCTATAAAGCATTAAAGTTACAAAGAAGAAGTGGAAACATTGGTTTCATAACTCTAAACCCATAGATGAAACAAATTGGTTACTTTTTCAGTTACTAGATATTGAAGGTGGATTATTGAATCTATTTTATTACTATTTATGTTGGTATAGAAAGCGACTGAAACTGGATATGATCGTGACAGTCATGATGATGAGGATGATGTTCATGTCACTATCGGAGACATTAAAACAGGAGCACCACAGTATGGGTAAGTTTTTAAATTTTCAATTTCAAGTCTTGTGGTGCAGGGAATTGATCCCAGGACCACATACATGTGAAGCATGTACTCTTCCATTGAAATACATCCTTTACTCCTTTAACAGTTCTGTATCAAAAACTGGGTGCCATTATTAAGACTTTAGTGATAGATTCTGTTGGTTTTACATTTTTTATCATATCATGATATGAAAGCATTCTTATTTAAGTTTTACTTTCAGTTGCTAAAACTTGTACATCTTAAACATTCTTATAAGGAAACAATGAAAACTGTGATGATGAATGTTAAATTGCTGTGATCAGCATTTTGCAGTTTATATGTATATATGTATATGTATATCAAGTCATGTTGAATACCTAAAACAAATACTTTGTTATTTATATCTCAAAAAATACGTAGCCATGGAAAAGATTTCCTCCCTAATGGTGAATTGAATTTTAAAAGTTGCATGGAATCAGTAATTTGTAATTCTAGAATTGAAAGTATTTTTGTAAAATGAGTGCTACAAATTTTTAGATTTAGAAACTATTAAATTTCAGCTTGCATTCTTCCAATCTTGAGCTTTGGTTTTTTTCTGTATTTTGTATATGTAATAATTTTAAAATAAGGCCAGTAACTGCTGGTGTTGGGGATACTTTCAGTGATATTCATGGTACAGGATCTGACATGTTAGGCATGTGCTTTTATTTGAGCTATTTTCTTAGCTCCAGGATTTTAATATTTTTAATTCAGTTTTTAATTGATTTTTTAAAAATCAGAAGGCTTTTGTTTTTAAACTCTGTATGGCTTATGTTCCTTTAGTTTTGGGGAGTGGGGGGACACCCAGTGATATTCAGGTGTTACTCTGGAATCCATATGGGATCTCTAGGGTTGAGCCCAGGTTGACCACATGCAAGGCGGGCACCCTACCCACTGTGCTAAAGTTCTAGCCCCTTTAGCTTCTTTTTTAAGTTGTTAATTATTCCTTTTTGTTTTTTAGTTGTGTTAGCTAAGTTTTATGTTTTGTAAACTGGATCAGATGAATGAGCTGTCATTTGTTTGTCCATCCAATTATCTTTACTTGTGGGGTGAAGTGGAGATTTGAACCTCACCCAACAGTGCTCTGAGACTATTCCTGGTTCAGCTTAGGAGTTCCACCTGGTGGTTGAGAGACCACATGTGGTGCTAGGGATTTGAACTGAGGTTGGCTACATGTGAGGCAAATGCCTTCCCTCATGTATTACCTCCCTGACAACATTTGGAGTCTTAATAGAAAGATTCTGAAATGAATAAAGTACAGATAATGCTTTTGTTATGATGGTTGAATGGAAGTCAGTGTTTTCTGATTTTCAAATTTGACATATGCTGTACTGGGAAGGTAAAATATCTTATTAAATGTGCCATCCTTTATCTAGCAGACTTTGTATCTTATATATCATAAATGCTTTAGAATTATTTCTTCAGTAGAACCTTTTCCTTAAGTTATTTCAAGAACCATGCAGTTAATTCAGCTACTGTCATTGTCATTTGGGGGGCAGAGGCACTCTCAGAGATGCGCAGGAGTTACTCCTGACGCCTCAGTCAGGAATTGCTCCTGGTGATATTCAGGGGACCATATGAAATCAAACTTGGGTCTGCTACCTTCAAGGCAAATGCTCTATCCACTGTACTGTCTCTCGAGCTCCATATCACTGTCATCTTGTTATAATGGCAATTGCCTTTACAACTTAAAATCCTTAGGAAAATTTTGGTGGAATCCAGAATAGATTAAATTATTTGTCTTTTTTTAATTTAAAAAATTCATATTTTACTTTATTAATTTAAAAAAATTTTATCAGCATGCAATACAGGGTCATAAAGCTGTTTGTGGTCGGTTTTCATTCATACAATTTTCCAACACCTGTGCCTCCACCATCGTATATTTCTCACTGCCAGTGTCCCAGGGTTCCCCCCGCCACCTTCCCCTGGCCTTTCCCTATGACAAGCACTTTTCTTCTCTCTCCCTCTCTCTCCCTCCCTTTTTCTCTCTTTCTCTCTCTCCCTCTCTCTCTCCCTCTCTCTCTCCCTCTCTCTCTCTCTCTCTCTCTCTCTCACACACACACACACACACATACACACACACTCATTTTGGGCATTATTGTGATCATTTTATATTTTGTTTATTTTTTATTTATTTCTTTATTTTTAATTTTATTGAACACCGTGAGATCGATGCAAGCTTTCATGTTTGGGTTACAATCACAGATGATCAAACACCCATCCCTCCACCAGTGCATATTCCCCACCACCAATATTCCCAGTATACCTCCCCTTTTTCACCCTCCCCCGGCCTTCATGGCAGACATTACAATCCCATTCACAATAGTACCTCAGAAAATCAAGTACCTCAGAAAATCAAGTACCTAGGAAAAGAACAGGGATCAGCATTGTTGAAGGTGACTGGCTTAACCTCTACACTATTTCTCTGGTTATTTTAGATTCTCTTGAAGCTAAGGCTGTGGCTTATTTTTCTTTGTACCTTTATTTTTCTTTGTACTTTTGTCCAGTATAGAACCTGAAATGTTTTACATATTGATTAAAATTTGGTTGAATACATAATTTATTATATATTGCATTGGAATGATATGGATTGAATATTTAACACAGTTACTGAGCACCTGTTACATCTTAGTGTTGGGGATCCCAGCTCTCTGGCACACTAGAACAAATATATTATTTTATTACTTTTTGGTTTGGGGTCATACTTGGCAGTGCTCAGGGGTTACTCGTAACTCTGTGCTCAGGAATTACTCCTGGCGTGCTCAGGAGTCCGTATGGGGTGAGAGATAGAACCTGGGTCGGTTGTGTGAAAACCAAAAGCCCTCCTCACTGTACTGTCACTCCAACCCTCTAAAACAAATATGTTAAAGAAAACAGGTGTGTTCAAATTTAGTCAAAGATATTCCAACTATTAGCAGATATACCAACTGATTGTTGTCTGTTAAGGGGATCAGCGGGAGGATAGGGTAATGGAATGATGGTGCTGAGTTAGAAAATCCTCACATGGGAGATGTCATTGAAATCAATAATGTTTGAATGGTTAGGAAGATGACAAAAGTGAAAAAAAGTGAAAACTCGACCTGGAGGTTTGTTATGTAGGTATGCAACCAAGTTCACAGTGCTCTCTATGACAATAAGCTACAAATTAGGAGACATGACATGGCCATTGTTTTTATGTTCTGTGGTGGCTCTGAGTTCAGATGAATAAAGTGATTACTTTTATTATTTTTTAATTTGTCATTGAACATAATGTTAGACATGGGTTTCTTATAGGTGATGAACCTGAGGTCTGTTCCTTTATGACTGACTTGTTGAGAGGTTTTAGGTTTCTAATTTATGTATTAAATCGCCACGAGATAGTGACAGCTTTAAGGTTTGAGCTTCAGTCACACAATGATCGAAAACCAATTCCTACACCAGTGTAGCTTTTCCACCACCAGTGTCGCCAATATGTCTCCCGCCACCCCCACTCCACTACACCCCTGCCTCTATGGCAGGTAGTTTCCTTCTTACTTTCTCTCTCTCCTTTGGGATATGATGGTTTACAATACAAATCCTGAGAGGCCATTATGTTTGGTCCTTGGTCAACTTTCGGCTCACATCGCCTATCCCAAGCGATCCTCCAACCATCACTGGCTTGGTGATCCCTTCTCTATTCCAGCTGCCTTCTCCCAGAGCACTTGAGGCAGTCTTGCAACGATGGACCAATCCTCCTGACCCTTGTGTGTACTCTCAGTAGCTTGCCAGGCTCTCCGAGAGGGGCGAAGGAATCGAACTCGGGTTGGCCATATCGGCCACGTGCAAAGCAAATGCCCTACCTGCTGTGCTATTGAGCAAGGCAATAGTGATATTTGTTAATCCTCATTGCAGGGATGCTTTGTGAATAAAAATCATTTCATCTTATAGATCCCAACATATTAGTTGAGTATTGTATTTATCATTGGAAGGAAATAGATTTGCAGGTTCAGGAGTTGTTCTTTACTTACTGAAAAGGGGGAAAGCATGAGCATTGAGGAGAAGACCAGCTGGGCCAGAATTGTATCAAGATTTCTATCAATGTCTAAGTCCACCATCTTTTTTGTCTGCTTTTTGTTTGGGGCCATAACTGGCTGTGCACTCAGGGTTCACTGCTGACAAGCTGAGGTGTCCATCAAGGGTGCCAGGGATCAAACCTGGGTGAGCCACGGCAAGCATTTGCCCTACTTGATATACTATCGCTCCAGCCCCTAAGTCTCCCAGGTTTTGTTTTCTGAATTGTCCAAGGGAAAGTTGTGTTGTGGGTAGTTCTGTTCACTGGTGGAATGATAATCTTCCAAACAATGATCAAGTTAGGGCTAGAGCAATAGTATAGCAGGAAGGGTGTTTGCCTCGCACATGGCCAACCCAAGTTCAATCCACAGCATCTCCTATGGTCCCCTGAGCACCACCAGGAATAATTTCGAGTGCAGAGCCAGGAGTAGCTCCTGAAAAGCACCAGGTGTGACCCCAAAAGTCAAAATAATAATAATAACTGAAAAGTAATTGTAAAAAACCCCAGTGATGAATTTGGGAGTGAGAACTTAGGTCCATTCTTTAAAAAGCACTGAACACTGTTATTTGTCTTGAATTTTGGGTTGAGTTCATTTAATGAACTTGTTTATTATTTCTTAATGTGTTTTTTGGGGCAGTCTCCGAAGCTCAGGACCTACTCCCAGCCCATTACTTTAGGTTTCACTCCTGGTGATAATCTGAGGGTTGCAGTACTGGGGATTGAATCCAGAGTTACCTCATGCTTGAGCAGAGGAAACATATACAATGTCTCTCTGACCCTCATTTGTTGTAAAAGTGTTAATACATAGATGTAAAATATCTCAGTAGTCACCAGTACATAGAACACACTCTTTAACTTCTTCTGTTATTGTTAACTGTTACCATTTCTCAATTTATTCTTTCTTTCATTGGGGAAGATCTTCAGGGAGTCTGTAACTGTAAGTTCAGTGTCCTAGACCTCTTGGGTACAGGGTGTACCCAATAATATTTACCACGTGAAGAGAAGATTCCAGAAAAGGGGAGATCTACTCATCAGATTTCTACACTCTTCTGGACCGTCTATTGTCATTAGCACAAAAAGGAAAAATATCGCTATCCTAAAAATTTAGTATGGTGTCCTGGGGTTGAACCCATGTGCAAGGCAAGTTTCTAAACTCCTGCTCTTTCCATCCCCACCTGCATGTTAGTTTAGATTAAAGGACCGTTATAAACATGAAGCCAAATTTCTTTTCCTCCTTTTCTTCTAAAAACGATAACTTGTGTAACGTGGTTACCATAGTGTTTGCGCTTTTTAATTCTGAACAAGGTTACTGCACCTTGACTACCCCCAAAGTGCCAAAAAGCCTCCACCACGGACCTTGTGTGCCTTCGGGTCCTCCTGTCACTTCAACCTTGGCTCCCTTTCTGCCTTACAACCCCCTCCCCCTGCTGCTTGGCATTCTTACTTTAGAAATCGAAAGCCAAAGATTTGTTATCACTTGATATTGTCTGATCCCGGGTTTTGTTTCTCTACAGATCACAGTTACTGACCCAGAGTGCAAGGGGTCTTCCCCCAGGTCGTCATTGTAAATTTTTGTCTTCTTGTCTGCTTAAATAGGAGCAGTGGGACCTCATGGAGACAACTTGGTAGAAAAGATTCTATCAGTGCTCCCGCAGTTTCCCGGCCACACGAGTGATGGGATGGTCAGCATGGCCGGGCTTACGGCCCTCCAGGCTGAAGACGAGAATCAGAACGTGGTCGCACCAGGCTGTCTGGCACAATCCCAGTGAGTTATCTTCCCCTCATCCTCCTCACTGTTCCTTTTCTTTTTCTCTCCGAGGCTGAGCTTTCCTCTAGAAATGAAACATCAGCCTGCTGGAGGAATTTGATGGATTTCATGTTGGAAAAAAAAAGTCACTTTTTCGTAACTTTGAAATAACCATATTCTTTAGCCAACACTGAGCCACAAAGCACGGGGTTTTGCAGCGGTATCATTTAGATGTAATAGAAGCTTGTTCCCAGGTGAGTCAAGTTAGTCAGTTTGTAAGTCTCCATTTCATAGACAGTTTCGTATGGGACTGAGGATAGGCTTCCCTTTCCCCAATGGACGTTCCTACCCGGCCAAACAACAGCCTACGCAGCTGTGAGATGCTGCCATCACTTACCTGGACGTGATACGCTCTGGGGCAGCAGTGGCCAAGTTTTGATCTCTGTGTGTATTTCTTCTCATGGTTAGACAAATCACAGCAAGATGATGGTGTGCTTTCTGTCACGCAGTTTCCAACATAAAAGAACATTTCTCGGCAAGGTTGACAATGACAGGTTATAGTACTGATCGTCTCCACTTTGTTCTTCGGCAATTCCTAGGAAGGGGAAAAATTAATTGGAAGGGGAAAAATATATCTCTGAATATCTGTTTCTCATCTCCATGTTTTTTTAATTTTTGAACAAGACAAGACCTCTGGCGTGATTGTGTCAGTGCTTCACAGTAACAGATGCAGTGGGAATTTCCTAAGATGACTGGAATTAGTTTTTTCCTCTTAACTTTGTGTTTGTATTTTAAAACTTATCTCCAAAACTCAGGAAAACAGAATTTTCAACTCTTGAAATCTACAAGGTAGTTTTCTTTTGATTGTTGTTGTTTTGTGTTTGTGTTTTGTGGGGAGAGAGATGTTTATTGAATACCAGGTATGTGGGGAAAAAGACAAACGTCTGTCGCCAGTCTTTTTTTCATTTTTATATATAATAAACATATGTATATATATACATATATATGCACACACACACACACACATATATATATATATATATATATATTTGGTCATACTGCAACTTGAGCTTGACACACACATACCAGCTAAGTGTTCTGTCTCTGGGTCACATCCCTGGCACCTTTGTGCGCATGATAAAGAGCACCGGCCATGTGCTCACTGTGGCGGCACTTATTCCAAAACATACACCTCAGAAAGTGTAATCCGAGAAATAGCTGAGATTGGAAATATTTTTTGCTCATTGGTGATTCCTTAAAGTGTTAATTATTATTTTTTTTATTCAATCACTATGAATTATAGTTACAAAGTTATTCAGTATTAAGTCTCAGGTTAACAATTTTCCATTTCCAACACCAGCCCCTTCTCCAGGTTCTTCGTCCCTCCTCCAGAGTCCCCAGTGTCCTGCCCACTTGTCAGTCTGCCTCTGTGGCAGGCACTTTCCCCTTCACCATTACTCTAGTGTTCCCTTCCCCAACTTATCCCCCTCACCCCTGCTCCACAGTAAGCTTCCTGCTGAAGACCACTTCTCCTGCTCTATGTTTCTCTTGCCTTTGGGCATTTGTTATTCCTATGAAGTTTCTTTGTATCCCACATATGAGAGACCATTCTGAGTTGTCCCTCTCCCTCTTACTAACATCACTCAACATGATACCACTCCGATCCATCCACTTAGCAAATTGCCTGATTCATCTTTTTCTGATGGTTGTGTAATATTCCGTTGTGTTCTGTGTATGTGCCACAACTTCTCTATGCAGTCATCTGTTCTTGGACACTTGGGTTGTTTTCAGATTTTGGCTATTATGAATAGTGCTACAGTGAACGCAGGGGTGCAGATGTCTGTCTTGCATTGTGCTTTGGACCCTTGGGATGTCTTCCAGGGAGTGGAATTGCTGAGTCATATAAACCTTCCATTGCTAGTCTTTTGAGGAATGTCTTTATTGTCTTCCCAAAAGTCTGGTCCTATGGACATTCCCACCAGCAGCGAATGAAGGCTGCGTTTCCCCACAACCTCTTCAATACTACATTTTTTGTTTGTTTGTTTGTTTGATGAGTGTCAGTCTTGCTGCTGTAGGTGTGATAGCTCATTGTTTTGATTTGCATTTCCCTGATGATTGATGATGTAGTGTATTTTTTAAAACATGCATTTTGGCCATATGTATTTCTTCTTTGAGGAACTTCTGTTTATTTCTTTTTCTCATTTTTTGATAGTATCGGATACATTTTTTCTTGTAGAATACTGCTAATGCTTTATATGTCCTGGATGTTAATCTTTTATCAGATGAGTGATGGGCAAATAATTTCTTAATCTGGGGGCCATTGTTCTGGTCATTGTTTCCTGTGAAGTGCAGAAGCTAATTTTAGGTACTAATTTTATATAGTACATTTGTTGCAAAAGCACAGTGGGTTGGGCGTTTGCCTTGCACGTGGCTATCCCTCTCGGAGAGCCCAACATTCTCCTGAGAGTATCCCGCCCGCACGGCATATCATATTCGATATGCCAAAAACAGTAATAACAAGTCTCACAATGGAGACCAGTGCTCACCCCAGCAAATCAATGAACAACAGGAGGACATTGCTACAGTGCCACCATTTGTTTATATTTTGTTTCACTTGCTTGGTCAGTGGTATTTCCTCCTTTAAGTTGCCTCTGGCTTCAATGTCGTGGAGATTTTCTGTCTATGTTTCTTTTCTTTGTCTTATAGGGTCAAGTCTGATATCAAGATCTTTAACCCATTTTGATTTCATTCTTGTGCATGACATTCGGAAGAGGTCTGAGTTTATTTTTGTGCTCATGGTTGACCAGTTTTCTCAGCACCATTTTATCAAAGATTAACGGACCATATATATACTCAAGGGTCTGTTTCTGAATTTTCAATCCTATCTCATTGATTTATGGGTCTGTCTATATTCCAGTACCATGCTGTTTTAATTGCTGCCGCTTTGTTGTGCATTTTGAAGTTTTACAATGCCTCCCACCTTCTTTTACCCCCAGGATTGCTTTGGCTCTTGGGCAGGGGTTAGAGAGAGAAAATAAAGTGTTAAATTTTAAGGCTGACTGTGAGTACTGCGAGGCGTGAACAGAGCTGTATTCCTGAGTCCAAGTTGATTACAGTAGTCCGAGTCTACTGTACTATCCAGTTGATTCATATTATCAGGAGTGTCCCCTTAGCATTGCTTGGGAGGCTTCTCCACCCCCAACCTCTCAATATGTACAATTACATTCTTACCTTCAAGGAAGGATTTTGTCATTGGGGTAGTGATGGTTTACACACTTTGGACAATAAAGAAAGAAGGAAAGAAAGAAAGAAAGGAAGGAAGGAAGGAAGGAAGGAAGGAAGGAAGGAAGGAAGGAAGACCCATAATCATGACTTATGGGTCTGCTATAGATTATAATTTCTGCAAGTCAACTGTTAGTTGAATGTGCACTTGGCAGACCTGTGTGGATCTTGTGGAAATGGTGGTGCTTGAACTCTTTCCATGGATTTAGATAAGGAGAGAAAAGATCCTTGAGAGCAATCATGGCCTCCTAAGCCAGACAACTTCGCTTCACTACCACTGCCATCATCTCCATAAGCATTTCTCAGGACTGAACTGTGTGCCAAGAGCCCTTGCAGTTTACCTTTGGAAATTCATATGCGTTTTATAATGACTTAAAAATGTAGGTATTGCTCTTCTCCATCTGGCAGGGGAGGAAACTGAGGCTGGGGTGCCTCAACTCACATAGTTTAGAGGAGACAGAACTAGGAATGGAGCCCAAAAACTTGAATCCAGAGCCATCTCTCTCAAATTCTATAGTACCTCTATAGGAGACAGCGAAGAGAAAGGCTCATGAGTAGCTAGAAAGAGATAATGAGATGGAATGGGGTGGGACTGGCTCTTCCCTCCCACAGCGCAAAGAGACCCCAGTCACTGCCCACAAATGGGCCCTCTGACTACTCAACAAACTGCTTCTGCCATGATCCCAGAGACTCAAAAACAAATCTTGGAACCCAGCGGCTTTTGGCAGAAATCTCTCCAGATCTAATTGTTAAGATTTCAGAAATCCAAAATCGTTGTTCATGATCAGCAGTAGAAAACAAATTGCCTAATGTTGCTTTTTCAGCAGATATGAGTGTTGGGGTAAAATTCCAAATAATAGTGGTGGGTCTGATGTCGAAATATTGAATGTAATCAAAGTAGAGAGAGAGAGAGTAATGTAGAAACCATCTGCCACACAGGTAGGGGGAGGGTGTGGGCTGGGGGGTATAGTGGGGGTTTTGGTGGTGGTAAACGTGCACTGGGAAGGGACGGGTATTTCATCATTGTATTACCAAGACTTAAACCCAAAAGCTTTGTAACTGCTCTCACGATGAGTCAATAAATAACTTTAAAGAGAGAGAGAGACAGACAGAGAGAGAGAGAGAGAGAGATAATGAGATATTAAACAAATACAAAGTTACTGCGTCATTTGATTTTGGGAGTTCTGTCCATTCAGCATAATGGTGACACAAACAACAGAAATTATTCATCTCAGGCAATTGCAGCAGAAATGAATATTGTAAATTGAATGGAAACAAAGGAAGATTTTTTTTCCAAAGGAAGACTTTTAATCAGATTTTGGAAAGGACAACACAGATCCAAGGATTGAGGAACTAAGATCTCAACAAAGGTTTCTCCAAGGCCTGAATATTAGAGAGGCTGCATTTTAGCCGCTCTCTGTGCGGAGTCCTCAGCATCCTTTGAAGATTCAGGTTTCAATGAATAGGCTAAGATTGGCCTCTCTTGGGTCTTATGCCCACTCTTTGCCCAGCAGGCTTTGCAATGCTTAAACCAAGGCTTACATACTGAAAAGCTTTCTATAATAATTTAACAAAGGTTCAAACAAAGGGATCAAACCTGGACTGGTCACATGCAAGGCAAGTGCCTTTCCCACTGTACTACCTGTTTGGCACTTGGTTTGCTTAATTTTAATCCTATCTTTAGGTTCTCATTTCTTCTATGAACTTTTTTTTAATGTATACTAAAGTTCTTATTGTGAAATATAGAAATTTAAGATTATGAAATTCTTTCTAAAATCTATTATAGCTTTGCCCCCAGATTTTTGTTTCCGTTGTGATTCAATTCTAAATCCTTCACAGTTGCTGTTTTTTTTTTGTTTATTGTTTTATACTACATGATTTTTTTGGTTTTATTTATTTGTTTGGGCTGGAGCGATAGCACAGCGGTAGGGCATTTGCCTTGCACACAGCCAATATGCCCGACCCGAGTTCGATTCCTCCGCCCCTCTCGGAGAGCCCGGCAAGCTACTGAGAGTATCTTGCCCGCACGGCAGAGCCTGGCAAGTTACCCGTGATATATTCGATATGCCAAACACAGTAATAACAAAGTCTCCAATGGAGATGTTACTGGGCCTGCTCGAGCAAATCGATGAACAACAGGAGGACCGTGACCGTGATTTATTTGTTTGGTTTTTTAGAGCATTACAAAGCGGTTCATGATTGGATTTCAGTCATACAGTATTCCAACACCCGTTCCTTCACCAGTGTCCCCCCACGTTCCTTCCCATCACCCCAAACCCCTTGCCTGCCTCTTTTGGCGGGCATTTTCTCTCTCTCTCTCTCTCTCTCTCTCTCTCTCTCTCTCTCTCTCTCTCCGATTGTGGTTTGCAATATTGAACTGAAATGCTATCAGGAATATCCCTTACCTACTTTTAAGCCTCACATTCCCAGCTATTATTGTCATAGTGGTTTACTACATTATTCTTTTAGTTTATAAATGTACAGTGTCTTTTAAAAATATTTATTTATAGTTGATTATTGGATTGAGGTTGGAATGTATTTTGCATGGTATAATTTCCTTATTTGTGGGACTTCCTTTGTATGTGAGAAGTTTTTATAAATGTTGTTCCATACGCGCCAAAAGAATGTTTATTTTCTTATTGTTGCCTTTTGGCTTCTAATCGTTATATAGTGTTCACATGTTATGTACCTTCAAATGTGCATTATTATAAACACTGTAGCACTGTAGCACTGTCCTCCCATTGTTCATCGATTTGCTCAAGCAGGCACCATTAACGTCTCCATTGTGAGACTTCTTGTTACTGTTTTTCGCATATCCAATAGGTCACGGGTAGCTAGCCAGGCTCTGCCGTGCAGGTGGCATACACTCAGTAGCTTGCTGGGATGTCCCAGAGGGGCGGAAGAATCAAACCTGGGTCAGCTGCATGCAAGGCAAACGCCCTACCCGCTGTGCTATTGCTCCAGCCCCACTGGTTATTTCTTTGGGAACTCATTCCCATCACTCTCTCCATCCACTCTTCACTTCACTGGCCTAAGTAGAATCTCTGTGAGAGAACAGAATGGGTCCTTTTGCATGTTCAATTATTGCATTTCCCTTATTTGCTGTAAACTCAGTGTTTTTGACAGTTTAACCACTAAGGGTGACGAATCTGAGTATTGTTCAAAAGACTTCTTTTTGACTCAGGCTAGTGCAAATGACAGAAAAGATATTTATGTGCTCAAGAGTATTGTTGGGAACATCTTAGCATATATGTTAGTAGTGAGTTTTGCTTGTTTGGGTTTTGACACACCCAGCAGTGCTCAGGGGGACCATGCAGTGCTGGGGATGGAACCCAGGATCTTCCTCTGGTCTCCTCCCCCGATACAGACCATGCCCTGGCCCTTTTGACCCCCTCTCTGGCCTCTAGAGTGAATCTTTTTTTACAAGCCAAAAGAGATACGCATCTAAGCGCCTTTGATCTCCCATTGTCCAGGTCTCAATATCACAGTAGTTTTCAACTTTCAATCACCTGCGTGCTGATAATAAATTCAGATTTAAGACATAGAAAAGACCAAATTTGCAGGCCAGAAAGATAGTCTAGGCATTAAAGAGTGAGCCTCGCATGTGGAGAAATCCGGTTCACTCCCTGGCACCATCTGGTTCCCTGAGCACTGAATGTGGGTGCCTACAGGCCCCAAAGCCTTGGTGCTCCTGGGCCAGCACCCCCACATTCTCGGGCTTCTTAGTAAACCACCAGCTCCCTTCGTTTCAGTTCACTGGGAGGGGCCTCCAGATTCCTGAGCACTGATTCACAGCTTCTCCCTGCACCTCCTCTTCCCCCCACACCAAAAGAATTAAAAGGCAGGTGTAGCGGAGAGTACAGAGGTTAAGGTGATGACTGGGAAGGGGTTGATGCTTATTTCACCCCTGGCCGCACACGATCATCATGGAGTGTAGTCCTGGGAGCCTCAGGCACCACTGGCGGAGCTGGGAAAATCATTAGCCCCCGAAAGACCTGAGCAGTGCCTCTTCCTTTGGCCCTTCCACTTAACATACTTTATAAATATAAAGGTGTTGTCGATCTCCAGTCATTTCTGTGTGCAAATTTATGCTTCCAAAAATCCAACTTAGAAATGAGTTTTCTGTTTTTTGGGGGGCCACATCCAGCGCTCAGGGTTTACTCTTGACTCTGTCCTCAGAAATCACTACTGGCAGGGCTCAGAGGACCTTCTGGGGTGCCAGAGATCAGACCTGGGTCAGTGATGTGCAAGGCAAGCACCTTACCTTCTGTGCCATCATGTCTGCCCCAGAAAATGATTTTTCAGTAAAATATAAATGAGTTCTAAGGCCACTAGTATGGCCACCTAAGCTATTTGGAGGGAACTGTTTGCTTGCAGGGTTGTTTTCCATCCTTTAACTTTGGGTCTGTGTTCACTCTGAAGGTTCAGATGAGTTTCTTGTAGGCAGCAGAATGTTGGGTTCAGTTTCCGAATCCATTTTGCCACTCTGTGTCTCTTGGTTGGTGCGCTTAGACCATTGATGTTGAGAGAGGTTATTGGTAGAGGGTTTTGTGCCATCTTTCTGTAGGGACTTGTGCTTGTAGGGGGTTTTCTTGTCTTATAGAAGCCCCCTTAGTCCTTCTTTTAAGTTGGTTTTGAGTCTGTGATGTTCCTGAGCTCTTGTTCATGCATGAAGTAGTGTATGTTTCCTTCTGAGTTTGAATGAGAGTTGAGCTGGATAGAGGATTCTTGGTGAGGCGTTCATTTCATTGGTTTTTTTCACTATATCCCCCAGATGTAGATGCGTGCGAATAGCCTGGCAGTTTGGGCGCTCTGGTGGTCAGTAGCTTGGGGGACATGGCACTTAGGGGGGTGTCTGGACTACCCCCCAGGGGCTTCAGTGGTGAGCTAGCGTGAGGGGCCGCCCCTGCTGCGTGGCCAGGGTTTCTCCTCACCTTCTCTTCCCCTGGGCGGTCCTGGGGTTTGTGTGTCCGGCACTGGCGTTGGATTCCCTGGGCTGGCCACCCGCCTGTTAGGCATCAGCCAAGTCCCTGAAGGTGAGTGCTGGTGCCTCAGTCACTCTCTCCACTGAAGTGGCAGGAACCAGCCCTTGCTTCCCAGGTGCTAGCCTGGGAAAGTGGAGAGTGCCACCATGTGGTCGCAGAACGCTGTGTGAGTTGTCGTGGCACATGTTAAGGCCTGTCACCCTGTGCTCCCCCAGCTAGGACTGTTTGCTGGTCAGCCCCAACAACCACCCACTCGGGAGCACTTGGCGATGAGTCTTGTAGTTAGGGGAGTGGGTAAGTGGGTCCTGGGAGGCCACTGCCAGGGTGGGCACAGGAGCCATCGAATTTGTTTCTTCTTTCTGCAGGTGCCAGATCACTGAATTTTGACCATTTGGGACACTCCTGGATCCAAGGAACTGTGAACTCAGAGCAGCACACACACTTGTCCCATGCGTGGTAGGTGCACATTCCCTCCACATTCTCTTGACCAGACAGCAGAGATTTGGTTATTTCACAGCTGTGGATACGGACCCCAAGGAGAACCCATCAACTCTGTGCCACTTTTTTGAGTCTTATTCCTTTGAGCCTCCTGAAGGTGCCTCCCAGATCCCCCTCCTTGAGACTGGACTCCTCAGAGATGCCAGGAAGTCCTGAGGTGCCAGGACTGGTTTTCTCCTTCTGCAGCTGTGTGTACTGGGAGGAGCTCTCCAGAGGCTCCTCTAATGATGTGTGTCTTCACTTCCCTTTCTCGCCGACTGGAGACACCTGCCCTGTCCCTCTCTGGACTTGTGTGGTGCTGGGGATCAAACCCAGCCAGCGCGTGAGTCACTGGCGACAGGAGAGACAGTCATGGCAGGGAAGGGGCCGGGCCTGGCCTTCCGCAGCTCACATTGTACATGTAGGGCCCAAATGCTCAGGATCTCTTGAACAAAGAATGCTGGGCTCACCAGAGGCCCCCACGCCAAAGATCAGAGCTGGACCCCTTAAGACACATGCACAAGTGAGCTCAGAGTGTGAAGTGGCATGAAAAAACTGAGGTGACAGGACTGCAGCAACAGTATAATGAGTAGTAATGCCGCTTGCACTTGCCTTGTGTCCAACTGACCCGGGTTCAATCCCCAACACAACATATGATGCCTCGCGTCCTGCCAAGAGTGATCCCTGAGCTCAGAGCCAGGAGTAAGCCCTGAACTCCACTGACTGTGGCCCAGATCCACGATAAATTCAGCTTTGAAAGTTCCTAAAGAACAGAGTCAGTTTCGCAGTTGCTGAGGACAGTGGCACAGAGACCAAAACCAGGCTAGTTCAGGTGGTCATCCTCAAAACGTTGTCAGTTCCTGCGGTGCCATCAGGAAAGTAAAAACACGGCCCAAGGCATACAACGTTTGGCCAGAGCTGTAGCATAGCGGGTCGGTGTTGCCTTGCAGCACCCAACCAGGTTGGATCCTCAGCACCCCGCATCTTTGAGTAACTTCTGAGCATATCCAGATGTCGCAGGGGAAGAAAAGAAAATTTCTGTACATGCTCAGTACAGACACACCCATCATCATCACGGTGGCCTAGTGGTGTAGTGTTTCCCACTGGTCAGTGGTGGGCCTGGGGGCAGAGGGTCAACTGGAGCCACAGGAGTCCAAGCAGGTCTGGAGAAACGGCCCCTGTGCACAGCTGCCGGGGATGGGAAAGGGTGCAGAGTTCCTCAAAAAGATACAGAAGGCCGGGAGGAGGAGGAGCCACAGTGGGTCAGGAGCTTGCTTGGCATGCAGCTGACTCGGTTTTGATCTTCTTCCGCCTCTCCCCCTTCCTCGCATCCTTTATGGTCCCCTGAGCCCAGCAGGAGTAATTCCTGAGTGCAGAGGCAGCAGGATGGAACCCAAAACCCCAGAGTCAGCTGGCCACTGTTTTGCAGGGAACCTTGCTCCACAGCACCCCCTGCATGCCAGCTTTTTCCACTCCTGAGGGGCCCCTTAGGTTCCCCCACTAAAGTCCTAGGAAAGAAGAGGATGGCTTCAGTCCAGAGCAAGTACCAGGGATGCAAGGTCCGCTGGATCAGCTCTTGGTTCCATAATTGGAGCCATGGGACATTTGTATGAAATAGTCGTGTATGGTCTCAGCTAGCAGCACCATTCTCAGTGGAAAAAGAAATGTCCCATTCCCCAGAGAGGTAGACACCCTCAAACAGTCAGCTCAGACATGTCGGGTGTTCTAATGGTTACTGAACTTCTCTGCACTTCTCGGTGAACAGATACGTTAACTATCTAAGCACCTGCCCTCTCCAGGTGACTGTGTGGCGCTAGGCAAACTCTCAAGGACCGCAGGGGTACCTTAAGACTGACTCTTTCCAGAGAGAGAGTTCTGGGGCAAGAGGGGGGGAGCAACATTTTTCTTGAGTGACTCTTGGCCCAGGCAAACAGGGCCCATTCCTGTCATGGGAGAAAACTCTTTGCAAATGTGGAAGCAGCCGAATGGGGCAAGAGCAAAGGCCACAGATGAGGGCAGTTGAAAGGGAGCATGGGAAGGGCCACAGGAGGCCAGAGCAGAGAGCCACAAAGGAGACCCAGGGAGTGGACCCGGGGGCTCACAGAGCACTGGGTCAGGGTGGATGAAGCCAGAACCAGTGTCTTGTCTCCTCAGGGTGAGGTGGAAGCTGCACTGTGAGGGTCGACCACGCCGACCACTCTTTCCCTGCTTGACAGGCTGTCACCTGGAATGAGGCGGGGGTGGGGCGGGGGGAGGGAAGCCGACCTACTGTGGAGTTTTCCAGAACTTGTCTCTCTCCTCACTTGGGGATTCTCCACTTTGTCCTTTGCTTTCATTCTGTGTCACTTTCTTCCCTTGCCCTTAAGAAACCAAATGGAACCAGAGCCTCAGGACTAAAGGGTTTCCAAGGGCTGCTTCCTCGTTCCCATGCAATTCCAGGCCCCTAGTTCCTGACTGTCATTCGTAAAACCAAGGGGACCCCGATGACGTTTCTATATTTGGGGGCTTATTAAAGTGCTCCTTGTACGGAGAAAGTGATCACATTTTCCTGATCGAATTTGAGTGCCTACTGCAAGCGGAGCACTCAGGGTACTAGAAGGAAGATAAAACCTGTTGTCCGCAACATGTTCATCGTGAAGTGGAGACCGTGCGAACAGTTTCACAGGGAATGGGAGAGGCAATGGACGCTGTAGTTACTGGCCTGGAACAATATCAGCCTCCAGTAACTTATCCACAGCCAGTTGTGTTTTGTGGAGAGAGAAAGCTCGGGTGCAGCTTAATGATCTGGTATGGAGGCATAGAAAATAGGGGTGGGCGGAGGAAGCGTGTCAGAATGCCAGTGATTTCAGGCTGCTTGGACGAATGGACTAGAGTTCAGATCATCTTTCAAAAGTCCTGGATAGAATCTATGTCTTTCTTTTGTTTCGGGGAGAGGTATTTGGGATGCCGATATGGAATAAAACATGTTTAAGGACAATCCAGGGCAATTTTCAGAAAAGGGACAGATGGAGGCATGTCCTGCACGTAACACCCATCAGTCCTGATAAAACTGGGGTGCGCCTTGAATCCCTCATGTTCCTAATTCGAGTTTTAACTACAGCAGTCATAAAACAAGAAATGATGATGTGGTAGTTTCTAGACTTGTAGATTTGCAGAACAGAAAAATACAACAATACAGTTAAGACCATGACCAAAGATTTTTCACTTTTAAAACAACTTTAAGACTGACGGTGATAAATAAAAATATCTTCCTTTTCATAAAACAATTATTGGTGTTGTAGAAAGGTCACACTTGATTAGTGGAACCAATTTTTTTCTTAGAAAAGGAGAACATTGGTTATATTATCCTTTATGTTTTTTGGGGGTAAACCTGGCAATGCCCAGGGGTTTCTCCTAGCTCTGCACTCAGGAATTACTCCTGGTGGTCCACAGTGGACCATATGGAATGCTAGGGATTGAACCTGGTCAGCTGTATGCAAGGCAAATACTCTACCTGTTGTCCTATATGTCTGACCCCTGAATATATTATTATTTTTTCGAGGACCAGGCTAAGTATCATAGAAGGGATTTGATGCTGTCCTGACTCTGCTGACCTGGGTTCAATTCCCAGCTCCATAAATGGTTCCTCACCTCCTGCCAGGAGTTCTCTGATGCCTGAGCATAAAGCCAGGAGTCAGCCTTGAGCATCACCGGATGTGGCCCCAAAAGAAATGAACACAGTTCCATCTGACACTAACATTTGTTTTGTTTTGTTTTGAGTCACAGGGATTACTCCTGGCTCTGCACTCAGGAATTACCCCTGGTGGTGCTCGGGGAACCCTATGGGGTGCCGGGAATGTAACGCGGGTTGGCCACGTGCAAGGCAAACGCCCTGTCCACTGTATTATTGCTCTAGCCCCTGACACTAACATTTTAGAATTACAGATGGGTAGGACCTGCTTGCCTCCCAGGCCTTTGCTCCACCAAATAGCAACAGGGAAGCTAAGAATAGTCTCTCGGCCACCACGAGCTCCCATGTGGTAGCCACTACTTGAATCAACTCGATTCCCCAGTTTCTGCCCTGATCTCAGCTCCGACATCATCCTGGCCCCACAAACTCACCTTCACAGTAGTCTAGTATCCTGTGGGTTCGGGATTGAGGTGGGAGGAAGGAAATTGTTTTTTACGGATTCAGGCGGGATTGCAATGACAAACACTTTTATGACCTGCCTCTTCCAAGGTAGTTTGCCCCCACACAGTCAGCGCTCCTCATTTTCCAGTTCACTAGGTGGTGCTCTCTGTCTGCTACCCAAAGGTCCCTGATGAACAAGAACCCGCTGCTTTCTCCAGGTCCTTGCCCAATGTCCTTAAATTAGCTCTCTGTCTCTAATCCCAGCGACCAATGGCTCCAAGATGAGATACAACAATTTTCATAGACTTTCCTCTACGGAAACCTTTTTGGATCATTCTTAGTCAGTTATTTATAGCAAGCAATACAAAATAAATGTTTTAAAATTTTTTATTAGTGAAACACCATGAGGTACAGTTGTAGACTTAGAAATTTTTGTGCTTGAGTTTCAGTTATACAGTGATCGAGTACCCATCCCTCCACCCGTGCCCACTTTCCACCACCACTGATGCCACTATACCTCCCACCCCCCATCCCCTTGCATCCCACACTGCCTCTGTGGCAGGGCATTCCCTTTTGTTCTCTCTCTCCTTTTGGGTTTTGTGGTTTGCAAAACAGGCATTGAGTGGCAAACATGTTCGGTCTGTAGTCTACTTTCAGCATGCATGTCCCATCCTGGGAGGATCCTCTCAATACCCTTTCTTTGGTGCTCCCTTCTCTATCTGAGCTGCCATTTCCCCTAGCATGTGCGGCTGGCCTCCATGCCATGGAGTAAACCTCCTGGTACTTATCTCGGCTCTTCTTGGGTGTTAGTCTCCTATTTTGTTACTTTATGTTCCCCAGATGAATGCCTATTTTGGGGA